AGTGGGCTATCCAAACTTTCAAACCTTATAAATCTCCAGGTCCGGACGGAATTATTCCCGCCGATATTCAACAGGGTGAATTCGTAATCCTCCCCTGGCTCCTGAGCATTTACAATAGTTGTCTCAAGCTTATGTATGTCCCAAGCTGCTGGAGAGTGGCTCGAGTAGTCTTCATTCCCAAAGCAGGGAAAATAACTCACTGCAGTGCCAAGGACTATAGACCAATTAGTCTGTCTTCTTTTCTTCTAAGAGTACTGCAGAGAGTTCTTGATCTGCATATCAGGAACATGATAAACCCAGCACTCTTATCTCCATCACAGCATGCTTATACCAAAGACAAGTCTATTGATACTGCGTTTCATGCACTCATCTCGCAAGTTGCCCACTCCATCTCTCTCAGGGAATTCACACTTGCCACTTTTCTCGATATTGAGGGCGCTTTCAACAATGTCTGCCCCAATGGTATCATAAAATCCCTCTCAAAGCTAAATCTCGACAATAGTCTGGTTAAATTTGTAGAGGCCCTTCTCAAAACTAGGATTATTACATCCGATATCGGAAGTGTTCAATCCGCCAGAGCAGTCTGTCGGGGAACGCCACAGGGTGGGGTTCTCTCTCCTCTTCTATGGAACATAGCGGTTAATTCTTTGCTAAAACTTTTGGAACAATCCGGATGAAGTGTTATAGCTTATGCGGACGACATTGCTATTGCCTCATCTGGCAAATTCCCCCAAGTTTTATCCAATGTTTTTAACTCTGCGCTCCTCATTGTCACTAAATGGTGTAGGTAATTCGGTTTTGATATTAACCCCGCAAAGACAGAAGTTATTCTCTTCACCAGGAAATATAAAATACCGACATTTTCCTTACCAAAGATAAAGGGCGTTACTCTAAATTTAAGTTCGAACGTCAAATATCTGGGTATTATTCTGGACTCTAAACTCAGCTAGAAAGACAACTTGGCTGAGAGAGCCCGCAAAGCCGTATGCGCCACCTACTGCTGTAGAAGAGCTATAGGTCGCAGTTGGGGGCTCAAACCGTGCATTATACTCTGGCTCTATTCAGCTATTATCGAACCAATTCTTCTGTATGGGACTGCTTTCTGGTGGCAGGCAACTGAAAAAGCATGCCACACCAAATTAATTGACAAAACTAGGAGGATAGCTGCACTACAAATCACTGGTGCTCTTCGCTCCACCCCCACGCAAGCTCTTTTCGCTCTGCTTCATTGGCTGCCATCTCGGCTTCTGGTAAAACAGCAAGCCAAAATAGTTGCAACCAGGCTCAACGCCCTCTCCTGGTGGTCAAGAACTGATATAAGCTACGCGATCATACTGAATCAGGATCTGCCAACTCCCGTCTCTATTGACTACATGTGTTGTTACCCAGACCTAACAGGGGGTTCGAATCTCTTATACCTAGCAGGAAGGACTGGATCCTTGAAAGAGTGATCCCTCTCCAAACGGTTGACATTTACACGTACGGCTCCAAAATAGATAAACGAGTCGGCTGTGGCATTTTCTCTGAAAGACTGGGTCTCAGCATCTCGCTTCGGCTTCCAAACCACTGTAGCGTCTTTCAAGCTGAAATAATGGCAATTTACCAAGCTGTAAAATGGGTTCTAAGCAATCGAACATCCGATTTATCAATCTCAATTTTCTCTGATAGCCAAGCTGCCATCAGATCACTGATTGGCACCTCAGTCACATCAATTACAACTCAAGACTGAAGTGCTTCACTAAATGACCTAGCTAGGTTTGTTAGGGTCAAACTTATTTGGGTTCCTGGTCACAGGGATATCACAGGAAATTGTAGGGCAGACGACTTAGCCAAGGCAGGTGCTCTTCTCCCCAACATTAACCTCTCTGATATAGGCGTTCCACTTGCTACAGTTAAACTGGCAATCATACAAAAATATCTGAGCATAGCCAGGCAATACTGGGCTGACGAACCTCAATGTCAGATTTCTAGGTTGACTTGGCCGAACTTAGACAAGAAAAGAACTAGTCAGCTACTTCAACTAAGACGGAACCTGCTCAGCACTACGGTATCTGTGCTGACGGGATACTGCGTAATAGGAAGGCACGCTCTCTCCTTTAATGACTTTTGTCGAGGTTGTGGCTCTGAGGATGAAGAGGAGACTGTACTCCATCTCATGTGTCAGTGCCCTTCCCTATCCAGAAGAAGATTTAAAACCCTTGGATCTCCTTTTCTAACTGACCTGACTGAGTTGTCATCCTGTAATGTTAGGGACCTAGCCAAGTTCATAGAACTGTCAGGTTGGTTTTCCTTTACCTAATAGGGGAGTCGTTACCTTTTTTCGACGTTGAATGTGTACTGATTACAATCTTTATACAAATCAACGTAACTCCTGTGGTACCACAATGGGCCATTATTTGTGCTTAAGAGAGCTTTTTGGGATACAAGGCCGCCACTCCAACCAACCAACCAACTCTTGAAAAAGAGGCATTAGCTATAATTTTTTCAGTAAATAAATTAAAACAATATCTTCTTGGTAATCATTTCATTTTAAGAACTGATCACAAACCACTCATATCAATATTTGGTGAAAACAAAGGATTACCTTTGATGGCCGCTGCAAGAATGCAGAGATGGGCATTTCTTTTATCTGATTTCAATAACAAAATTGAATTTATTAGAGGCAGCATAAATGATGCTGATAACCTATCGCGAATTCCTCAATTGGAATACAACGATATTCATAATGAAAAAAGTTTTATCCATTTAATTTCAAAAGATAATAGTTTAAATTTAGATTTCAATGATATAGCTCGTGAGACAAGGCGTGATCCAATTTTGGCTAAGATATGTGATGTTGTAAAATTAGGTACAATTAGAGATCTTAAAGGTCACGATTTTAAGCCTTATTGTATTAAGGAAAATGAATTAACTGTTGATCATGGATGTTTATTATGGGGATATAGAGTACTAATACCTCATAAACTTAGAAAAACTGTACTCCAACAACTACATGAGTCACATTTAGTAATAGTTAAAACAAAGAGTATAGCAAGATCTTACGTATGGTGGCCAAGTTTAGACATAGATATTGAAAACTTAATTAAAAGTTGTATTCCGTGTCAGGAACGGCTACCAAATCCACAAAAAAGTCCATTGATACCGTGGATTCCTACTGAAGCAATATGGAGTAGAATTCATATCGATTTTGCTGGACCTATAAAAGGTTACTTGCTGCTAGTATGTATTGACTCTCACTCGAAATGGGTGGAAATTTTTAAAACTAAATCTATTACTTCAATCTTTGTAATATCAAAGTTACGTGAAATGTTTTGTCGCTTTGGTTTAGTAAAAACTATATTAGTGATAACGGAAAACAATTTGTTTCTGATGAATTTAAATATTTTGTTAAAGTTAATAAAATTCAACATATATTAACAGCACCTGGTCATCCAGCAACAAATGGACAAGTTGAAAACTTAGTCAAAGTAGTAAAAAAAATCTTTATTTCCGAATTTAAGATATGAAAATGAAGCTTAATATAGCTTTAAATAGATTCCTTATAGATTATCGGAATACAAAACATTGCACCACCCAGGAATCTCCTGCGAAACTTTTTTTAGGTAGATCTTTAAGAACTAGATTTGACTTAATGAAACCACCATTAGTAAAAGAAAAAATTCTAAGAACATAGGAAAACAGTGTTAGAAACTATAAAGGTAAAAGAAACATAACATTTAAAGTGGGTCAGCAAGTTTTTATACGTGATTATAGGAATCCAAATAAACCTAGTTGGTCTCCAGCTAGAATAATTGATCAATTTGGCCCACGTACTTATCAATGTGAACTATCACATAGTAATAGGGTGATAAAAAGGCACTGTGATCAAATTAGATCTGGATCTGAAGATAAAAACCAACAGAGTGATGTTGATGCTGAACTGTCGGAAGTGACTGCAGCACAAGTCGAAAATAATTTAAATAAAAATACAATTGATAACAATAATGTCGAGACTGAACTTTCAGACTTGATTGCAGAACATGTCGATAAAAATGTATATGACAATAATATACCTCTTGAAGATCATTTAGGCCAATGTAATACGAATTCAAATAATGGTCAAGTAAGTACAAGACACCTAAGGCCGAGAATACAAGGAAAGGTTTTTAAAAAATAAAAATTGCATAAAAAATTGTATAATATAATTTTCTTTAGTTATATATATATATATATATAAATATATATATATATATATATATACTTATATATATATATATACTTATATACAAAAGTGTATTATCTTTGAATTTTATTTAATATAATTAAAAATGAATTTGTAAACTATATATATGATTTGATTAGTATAGCAAACTTCGTTAAGTGGAGGCATGTTATACTCTGTTATAATTTAGTCTTTAATTGTAAGCTTCTTATTTTATACAATAAGCTATTATGCAAATAAGCTTTTAAGCTACTTTAAGTTGTACTCTATTTTTAAGTATTAATAAAGTTCAGTCATAATAGGTCTGTTCCACGAGCTACACATAGTAAACCATGAGTAAAACAGAAGTAAAGTACAAACTGAGAGCGTAACACAAATAAAGTGCCAGATTACGCTCTTTACACAAATTTTCATGGAACAGCTTTGTGTAAAGTCTGGTGAAAACGGCTGTTTTTTGAAAAACAAAACAGTAAAAATAGAAATTGAAAAATAACAGACAAAGACATTAATAATAAAATAATTAATATATTTTATTTATTTATTTTTAAATTTATTTTAATATATTACATATTATTATTATTAGGATACATTATGTTAAAAACATATTTACTTTTAATATTATAGTCTTTATGTTTAGTTAGAATTAAAAATTTATTTAAATAATGTAATTTTAAAGCTAAGATAGAATTAAGTATATATTTATAAAATGTGATGTTAATATGTTAATTAGAATTAAGTTCTTTATTGCAATATTAATAAAATTAATTAATGAAAAATAAGCAATATACAAATAAACACTTTAATCCAAATTATTTTCTGTTTGTAATTCATTCCAAATCGAATCTCTAACGATACTTGATCTAAAAGGGATGTGGTTGTTGACATCATTATCTTCCTCAGATTGTTCTGAAAATGTGAATTCTAAGTCGTTTTCATTTGCAAGATTGTGCAAAACGCAACATGCTCTTATAAAGTGACACGGTTTTTCAACTCCTTTAAATTTACAGTAGTACAGCTGTCTAATACGTTGTTTTAAAATACCAAATGCATTTTCTATTAGTATTTGACCTGACCCCAATTTTCTATTGAAATTCTTTAGTGCACGAGTAAGACGCCCGTTGTCTTTATATGGCGTAATGATGTGTTGTGTACAGGGGTATGCGGAATCAGCCAGTAGATAGTATTCTGTAAACGTAAGAGGTTTTAATAAATCTCATTTCTTTTTCCAAAGAACTTACCTCCACACTTCGATGGTAGTCGCATATAAATAGGAGAGTTTTGTAAAACCCAACTGTCATGACAGGAGCCTGGATGTCCGACAAATATGCTAATAAATTTTCTGTTTTCATCACAGATGGCTTGCAAGCATAATGAAATATTTCCTTTTCTGTCAATGTAGTCGTCCTTACGATCTCCAGGAGGATCAATAGTTATACGAGTGCCATCTAGGCAACCTGCAAAGTAACATGTATTAATATATATGCAGCGTTAATATGCATATAAATCCTTACCTATAACTTATGGAAAATTGCATAAGCTTCGGAAAAATGTACTTGCTTCTTCCTTTTTTGATGTGCTAGGCCATGCAATTATATCCGGACACATGTTGCTAAAGAAAGTTATCATCCTTCTTATAACTCGGTTTACTGACGATAAAGAGAGATTAAAGCGATCTGATAAATCTCTAAAACAACATGCTTCGTGACCAGCAAACCATAAAAAACAGCAACGTGAGCTTCTGAAGAAATGTTCAGTTCACTTACTCGCAGTGCAATAAAGTCGGTACTATTTTGAAATTTTATAGCCAAAGAATTAAAAAAGCTCCGCGAAATGCGGAAATAAGCTTTGAATTCCTTGTCGTCATATTTGCAAACAACATCTTGTATATAATTTTTTATACACACACGTTTTCTTTTTTTTTTATGTAATATCGAATACACCAATTCTATATTCTGGTTGTGTTGTGTTACTTAAATCACTTAATAAAATATTTATTATGTTTTTATCCATTTCAATATTTATTTATTACAGTTGTTACAATTAAAAATGCAGAATTTTTTAATATTCACAAATGCCGCGCAAACAAACAATACAAAAATTAGAATTCAAACCATAACAGCTGATTTACACATAAACACAAATTTTACTTCATATAAAATGCATGAGTAAAGTCTGTGTAACATTTTCAAATTTCGACAGGGATGTTACGCTCTCTCAGATGCTCTCATTTACTCACAAATTTGTTCGTGGAACGCACTTGTGTATACACAGTGTTACTCAAAGTTACTATGTGTAGCTCGTGGAACAGACCTAATATGAACTCAAACGAAGTAAGGCGTATAATTTTTATTTAGCGACATAACAATTAGTGCAGCCGCTATTTCAAATTGTAGTTTGAACACTTCAAAAGTTTCGTTCCCATCAAATGACGGTGGCTGTAGTTTAACGCCACCAGTTTCACGAATGCCTGAAGATGACCTGCTTAGCTCCCTACTATCAGCTTGCCTTTCTAATTAAAACGTCTCACCTTTTTGACCTGTACATTCTGATCAATCGGGTCCCTTCTTCTCGAGCATCTTTTTTGGAATTGTTGCAACTCCATCTTTACGAGTAGTTCAACAAAATGTTGTTCTAATCTCTGCGTGATTTCATTAGACTGTTGTTCCAACTTTCGTTAACTTTGCACCTGTTCTTCTGAGTATTTGTTCCAACTCGTTAGCATTGATTTGAGCTTCACTAATGAGTTCTTAACTGCATAATTGAGGCATTGTTATTGCGCCTACCTGTGATAGAGCATCAGCTATTACAGGTATATCAGTTGAAAAATCACTAATGTGACTTAAGTGCTGGGCTTGGCGAGGTGATGGTTTTACCACTATTTGTTTGAATGCAAAAATGAGTGGTTTGTAATTATTTTGAATTGTAAAATGTCGCGCTTCTAACATGTCGTAAAAATGTTTAATCAAAAGGTAAACTGCTAAAAGTTCCCTATCGTAAGTATTGTAATTGAGCTGGGCTGCTGTTACCTTTACAGAGTAGAATGTGACTGGCTTCCCGTGATTACCTTTTTGTTGTTTAAGAACGGAACCAATTGCGGAACTAAGTGCATCCGTCGACAATGGCAATGCATATATTGGTGAAATTATTCAAATGTTGCATTGAATAGCAATACAAAGCTGCGGTTTTTGGAATCCACTTTCAATAATAGTTTAATACGCCAAGAAATTTGGGAACTTGATGAACCGTTTCTGGCTTTTTGTACTCACGTATTGATTTTACCCGATCTTCTGGAGATTCTGTCTCGTCTGAAGTAATGTAATATCCAAGGAATTGCAACGATGGAACCCCAAACTCTCAAATGCGCTTGATGAAGTTTATGTAACACAATGCCTCTGTTAAGTGATGCTTGCTGGACAAAAACAAAATCAAGAAACCAATAGTGTGGCTTGGAAGATTGAGTCCATGTGGCGTTGAAACGTTTAAGTTGCGTTTTTTAGCCAAAATGATATTACGACGAATTCAAACATTCCTATTGGAGTGGTGGTTGCAGTTTTGCAAATATCATCCGGGTTCATTGAAATGTTATAATAAGCTCGATTAATGTCAATCAGAGAATATTGCACTTCCATGAAGTCGTTCTGACACTTGCTCAAATTACGGATAACGGTCGGGTTTCGTACTGGCGTTCAGCGTACGGTAATCACCAAATACCCTCCATCCACCTCTTTTCTTTTCAACAAGATGCATGGGAATCGACCATGCACTGTTTGATGGTAGTTCAACCCGTTGCTTCAGTAGTGTGCGAAAATTAAAGTATCTTCTTGGCTTTTCTACAAACGGTCGGCACTCTGTTCTGATGGCTTACTTGTGAGATTGTTAGTAGTTTGTACCATAATTGTTGGAAGTGGATAGATTAGTAGACTTGCGAACTAAGTTGGGCAACTTAATAGAGACATTTAAGATGGATATCGAATGTATTTCCACGTTTTTAACAGAGTCTGAGACAGATAAAGACGTTAGAGGATCAATCAGTCAATTGGTTTTTATGTCTGTCACTAAACCGAAAATCTGTGTCTATAATTGATAACTTTACATTAGCTATTATGAAGTCCCAGCTGAAGTTGGGACGAAATCCTAAATTAATGCGCATTTTTCAAAACTTATTTTTATATTTTTATGTATTAATTATATATATTATTTATAAAAAAAACAAATGTTTAAAAAAAATTACATTACATTAAACCACAAACAATGTATGTATTAATAAAATTATATTTTTTCTATTTACAAACATGAACAAAACACCAACGAAGAAAATAAATAACATTAACTCATTTCGTACCTCCGTGTGGTATAAAACACGGCTAAATTTGAAAATTATTTAAAAATATATAAAAGTAATTAATGAAATAAAATGAGAGTGATCTCTCTAATAAATATCATACTCTTCTAATTAACTTGCACTTGTGTTTTTTACTATGCATAGTAATATTAAGTCTATTTTGTTATTTAAGTGCTGGTGGAGTTAGTCTGAATTTGATTGTTTTATATAAGGCTTACATTTGTTCATGCAAAAAGTTCTGTCGTTAATTTTTTACTGTAAATAAAATTATAATGTCGTGCCTAAGATATCTAAGAAAACAGGAGCTATTGCATATTATTGACAATTGGAGTGAAGATAACTCATTAGTGCCAAGTGACACTCCGCTACCTATTGAATAATAATGTTTGCCACCTGATAATGTTGCTGGTGAATCAGACAATGAAATGATTAAGGATGATGAAATATCAACAAACATTACATGCGACTTTAAAATTTTGTTCCCTTTTTTGAAATCCGCGTGTCTAATTGTGAGATGGTATTTAAGTACTATTGAAGTTGTATACGAATTTAAATGCACAATATTATGGTGGTGTTGTAGAAATGCCTGAGTCGCAACTATTCACTTTGGAACTTGTAAAACCAAAACGTTTCGGTTATAAGCTATGAACCCTTTCTTTGGATAGTGGGTATATCTTCCAGTTTTTGCCATACTCCAGTGCAACTAACAAATACAACAAACAATTGGAAATCGGTGCATTTCTTGTAAAGGAATTATTGAGCCATTGTGAGTATCTATTGCAACATACTGTATGATTCCGTTGAACCCATACTAAATGTGCAACGCTATAGCAAAGAGGAAAAAAAAGTTGGTGTCCCGCAGCCTCAAATTATCAACAGCTACTACCGACATATGGGCGGCGTCGATTTACTTGACAATGAAGTTGTTAACTATCGTATCGGGAATAGAAGCAAAAAGGGGTGGAGGCCATTATGGGTACAGTGTTTAGATAGTGCTGTAGTAAATAGAAGCAATAAGGGGTGGTGGCCATTATGGGTACAGTGTTTAGATAGTGCTGTAGTAAACGCTTGGAAACTAAATTGCTTTGTCGCTGCTTCTACCAACACAAAACCAATACCTCAATTAGACTTCAAGAACTTCATTGCAAGAAACCTTCGTGCATCAGAGAATTCAATTTTCATTACAGAAGCTACCGCTTACGATGATTTGAAAAAGGAAAGTCACACAGTGCAGCAGAAGATGTTTATCTTCCGGGAAATTCATCACGTGTAACCGGTATGCACGCTCTCATAAAAACTCAAAATCGTCACCACTGTATTGTTCGTATACCAAAAGCTACAGTTTTTATATATGAAAAGTGCCATTTAAGTGGTCATATAGGTAATTGCTTTAAAATTTTCTATGAAAATAAACAATATTACATTGATCGTAGACAATGAGGCAAGTAAACTTATTTCTTTTTACATAATATAATACATTTATAATAATTCAAATTTATTTTTTCATTAATAAACATTTGAAAAGCATAAAATATAAAATTTTATACTTACATGTCTTTTATACAACTTACAATGGTAATTACTTCACAATAAAAGGAATTAAATTCCATATTTGCGAACAAAACACATATAAAAATGTTTGTACTATCGAAGAGAAAAAAATGTGCTATGGGTCCCAGCGTGTGGTTGACCACACGGCACTTTTCCGAAAACTACTTTTCAAAAAAAAAAATTTATTTATGCAGGGAATTTTTTAACTTAAAATAAGACCTTTCTGAAAATTTCACCATAAAATTCCAAGTTTGAACTTGCCTGGTACTTAATGGGTTAATACACTGACACTGATTTTAGGCAACAGCAGTAAAATTCTGTTATCACATTTATTAAATAACTCACTTATATTTTGTCACATTTAGTTTAAAATATAGATTTTTTCCGTTCCTTAAAAATACGATTTTTTTTAAAAAAATTTTGTAACCACGCGGAAAAAACAAAACGTAAAACGCGGCGAAAACAAAAGCATGCGAATAACGCAAAGTACACAAAAATACACAAAAAGCATGCGAATAACACAAAATACACAAAGCACAAAATTTAACACGAAAAGCACAGAAATTTGCATACGGCAAACGAAGTCTAACAAGAAAC